TAGTTTGGATTTTGCTCACTTTGAGGAACATCAAATGCAGCAATGTTAAAGTGATATTAAAGTGATTGTAAATGGGGGTTTTTTTTATCTTAATGCATTCGCTGCATTAAGGTAAAATAAAACCTTTTCAGGGCCATCCCCCACCCCCAAAGTCACCTGAGCCCAATGTTGGGCCAGCGCTGTGCACTCTGCAGCAACTCCTCTCCCGTGTCTCACAGGCTTGGCTGGGAGCAGCGAGAGCCATTGGCTCCTGCTGCCGTCAGTCAAAACAAGTGAGCAGAGTGAGCTTTCAGCAGCAGAGGTTCAGGCTTACACTAGCTGCTGCTTAAATCTGTCTTCGCTTTCTTTGCTCAGTCCCATTATTTCTGTCCTAGTTTTCCTATTGTTGGATGTCTCTCCCTGCCCTGGCTGTGTCCTATGAAGCCGCCTGCTCATGTGCTCTACAGTGATCCAGCTACTGTCCTAAAAGAGGATGCTGCTCTGTGCCGACCTGCACAGGCAGCCTGAAAGGAAAACGCCTTAACGCCTAAGGGTAAAACAAATCTAAATGCCTAAGCACAATTCTGCAACCTTGACATGTGATAGTAAAACCGTACATAACACAACTACTTTGTACATCCAGGTGGATTATACCTTGATTTTTTTCAGGACAAATTGGGCTTTCATTTCGTGGTAAATGGTAATGGATAGCTCCTATTTTTTTTTTTTATTATCAAAGGAAAACTGGCCCAAAATAGTAAAAAAAAAAAAATCTTTTTTTTTATTTAGCTGTGTGTTTGTTGTTACGACCATAACCTACCTCCATAGAACCCAAAATATATTCTCCAGCTCTTGACGATCGCAGCGATACCATATATGTGTATGTTATTTGTTGTTTGTTTCTGGGCTGTACTACGGGTACAATAGTGCGCATTTTGTTTTTGTCTTTTTTTTTTTTTTACCTAAAACACACCGACACCAATTTTTTTTAAACCCTGACCTTTGCAATTGACCTTTGACCTTGACCCAAACAATAACCTTGATCTAGGTATTTTTCTTTATTTTACAAACATTTTTTTTTTATCTCTCCATGTCAGGAGTTAGAGATACAATGTATCTCTCTTCTCCATCCATAGAAAGAAAAAACAAGGGGGCCGGGCTGCAGTGACTGATCACTGTGATAGCCAATCACATGACCCAGAATCGGGAGTCCCAGGTCTTGATCGTTAGAACGGGACCCGGGCTCTCAGTGACACTGTGGTCTCTGTGCTGGGAGCGCACCGAGCGGTGTGCTCCCAGCACAAAGACAGCTACACAAATATGCGGCCCCACAGAAAAAAGCCCAGTTCCGTGAGGCCGCATATTTGTGTGCCATCGGCGTCAACAGCTCGTTCACACTTGACTAAATTCTAAGCTTGCCAAACGCCCCTAAAGCATTTGACAGGCGTTTGGGAAGCATTTTTTAACGCTCCTCAAACGTCCTATGAGCATTTTTGAGGTGTTTGCCAAGCATTAAAATTGCACCACAAACGCCTACAATGAAGTTTAATGGTATTAATGCTCCGCAAACACCTACCACGCATTTGAGGAGCGTCACCATAGACTTGAATGGGAGGCTTCAACTCCTCCTGACTCGACATGAGACGTCAATTTTGCAGCGACGCTAACGCTTCAGTGTGAACAGCAATGTGTGCTGCCATGTGTAGAATTTTCATAGGCGTTTGAGGACCGTTAAAAACGCTTCCCAAACGCCTGCTAACAAAACTAGTGTGAACATAGCCTAAACAAAATGCCTCTGTTCCTCCTCAACGGAGGTACAAAGCTGTCTTTATTCTGTTTTTCCCTCTTAAGGAATAAGGGAAAACAGAAGTTAGCATCCTCAGAGTGGGCAATTTTTTGTGTTTTTTCCCATTATCGAGCATGCATGTACATTGACGCAATGATTCACGGGTGACGGTAGTGCCAAATTTTGTAATCCTATTATTTATGCGACTCCCTGATAAAAAGCAGATGTAAACTTCAGAAAGGAAAAGTATGAGTATTTCTCCACTTTTTGTGAATGCAGTTTTTACAAAAAGGTATAGCAATGTGTTTTGGCTTTAGTACCATAACCACTTCCTGCTCGCAGGACTTCATATGACATCCTGGACTTGACGTGGCGATGTTTGGATGATGCCTGCAGCTACAGGCATCATCCAAATAATCTTTTTCATCCAGTAATTCCCTATAATGTAGAAGTCATCATAGTGGCCGATTAGCTGCTGGCTTACTTTTACAGGCAACAGAAGGGGATGACCTCCCCCCAGGCTCTTTTTTTTCCCCTGGAAAGCAGAGATCGATGAACAAAGAAAGTTTAAAGTGCCCCTTCCCCTTGTGCATGCAGAAGCAAATGCATGCGTAGGTCACACCTGCATATGTAAATGGCATAATAATTCTAGTGCTATACCTCCCTCTAACTCTAAACTGGTAACCTGTAAAAAATTTTTGAAGCATCACCTATGGAGGGTTTTTTTTTTTTTTTTTTTTTTTTTTTAAGTACCGTAGTTTGGCGCCAATAAACAAGTGTGTGCAATTTTAAAGCATGTTACATGTTATGTATCCATTTACCCGGCATTACAATATTATATTTTACATAAAAAATTGGGTTTTATATTGTGTTTTTATTAAAATTCATTAAAGTGTAAAAAAGAAAAAAGTGGGTATCAGTGCATTCCTAATAGCCGGTATATTGATCAGGGAAAACCTAACAGGCTGGTTGCACAGAAGTGAATTGGTAGATAGACTTCCGTACAACCAGGATGCTCATACAGCTCAACAGAGGCTTAAATGTTACCATACCAGGGGCGGACTGACAACTCATGGGGCCCCCGGGCAATAGGGGATCATGGGGCCCCTGTGTCCTTGCCCAAACTCAAAAAAGCCTATGAAAAAGGTACCAGGGGCATCTCATGGGACCCCTACTGACCCCGGGCAGTGCCCAAGTTTCCAAATGGTCAGTCCGCCCCTGTACCATACTTACATGTTTATAAAATTCCAAGACATTGAATTACACAGGAAAACGGAACAATTCAGGACAAATAAAAATTCTGCTGCGCCAGTATTGCTTTGGAATGTATATTTACTGAGGGTACATCAAAGGAAGTCAATCTAGGTTCTAGAATTATGGCAGCAGCCAACCAGTTTGTTTACCCAAACAGCAATAGAGGATTTCATTTCACCTAAGCACACCGCTTACAACAAATGCAGCTTTTATACAAAAAAGGTACAAAACATGTCAAGAGATACTTTTAGTATGTGCATAACAGACAATGAGGAGCAACTGCTTAAAAAAAAACAAAACATGCACAATATGCCAAATAAAATTCATTATTTGCAGTGGACAGTTTATTAATCCTGGGAATACTGAAGTCGTAAAGCTGATTGGGAAATGGCATGCCCCACTGTGCCACCAGCTATTGGTTGGCATGGTATACTAGAGCTTTTAGTTCCCCAACAGCTGGAGAACCATTCAGCACCCAAGATTTAGTCACATACTATGAACACAGAAGACAACAGTTCACCTATTGCTGGAAAAAAGTAAGGCCTTAAAAACAGCAGCATGGTGCAAAGAGCAACACAATTTTGCAATATATAGCATCATACTGGGAAAAAAAAAGTTAACAGTAGATGAACCAGACTAAGGAAAACCAATTATTTTTGATTGCTTTAAAGAATCTGTGGTATTACAGCACAGAACATTACTGAGGAAAAGTAAGAAGCAATAGACACTTGGCTTATTCACAAAAACTGGAAGGAAAAAAAAAAGAAAGAAGCTGGCTATACTAACCAACTGTAATCCACAGGTAAAGAAACCTGGCAGGTTTTGGTCATCCACTCCACTTAAGTTTTTTTTTTTTCCTTCCAATTTTCATAGGTCAGCCATATTGTTTTGGTTTTGAAATCTACGCTCAGATTGTTTGGACTCCTCCCCGATCTAGCATGCAAGTTACTAAAGCAGAGTTAGGCTAGAGATTTGCCGCTCCGAAGAAGTTGGTAGGAGGAGACACTGCACAGAAGAAAATTAAAAATATACGAGTCATTTACAGATTTTTTAAATGCTTTGTAGCCATCTTCTTAACATTTGTGTCACCTAATCTTCTACTGCTGCATTGGTACCACACACACACAGTAAATGCTTCACTTCAAATATACTGCAGAAAAACAAAGCAAAATCAGTGTAACTGTTTTTGTAGCCCTAAAATTTTAAAGCAAACCTCCAGCCAAGATTCTTATTGAAGCTTTGGACAGACTATAAAATGGGTTTGATCCTCAGCTCTCTTGCTCCCCCCCCCCCCCCAAACCTTTGCACTGCATTCTGGTGACAGTGTCAAAGGCTCCCTAGCAAATTCTCTATAAGAATATATAGAGAATGCATTTCCATAGAGTGGAAGCAGCAGTAAAGAGAGCAATAAAAAAACCTAGCAGAAAAGCAAACATTCCCCCCATCCATCCAAAACTAAAAAACATTATTCTGGAGTTCTACTTTAACTAAATATGCTGTTTACACATACGAAATGCATTAAATGAAAACCTAAAAAGGCAACAAAAAAGTACCCCATACTCTATGGATTTCTGAAAGAGAAGGCAGGAAATGTTAATTTAAAACAGATTTTGTGGTTTTAAATTTTACAGTATGACCTGGCTGTCAGTGAGTTTACAATCTAAACGGGTAACTTTCTCCAAATAGAATGTGACATATCAGATAGGTAACACTAGAAATTTAAACAAAAACCCAAAATATTCTATTTGCCCTGAAATAAGCCACAGCAGGGCCGAAGAATAGTCCTTGCACTGGGAAATTGAGGCTAAAATTGCATTTCAAATCAAACCAATTTTAATGCACATAAAAATGCGTCATCTTACAAATTGTTTTGCAATCCAAACTGTACAAGAGCTCATAAAACAAAAGTAGAAAACAAACAGCAAATGTAAAAAGAGTGCTTAAAACTAAAACATGAGGTTGTGGTGCCAGTGGATGGAGGTTACAGTTTTCTTATTGCATTGTCAATGTCAGACATCTGTTCCTTCAGCTGGTTCCACTGCTCAGGATTTAATGAGATGCCTACAACAAAAACACAAGAACATACATATTCACAATTGTTAGAAAGCAAATTGAGGTTCTATTCATATCTAAGCACCACAATGGGAAGTGTATGTACAGTGTATTGTAATCTGAGCACAAAGCAGCCGCTTTAAATTCACAGGTGTGAATGCCATGTGCATTGTGGTCACAAATAGTGCAGGCATGTTTTTTTTGCGCAGTTTTTTTTAAAAGCCCATTGAAAGAGTATGGGCTGCATTAACCACCTCTGGACTAGCGACATACTCCTGGTAGTTTTTTTTTTTTTTTTTAGATCAGCTCTCTTGTACAAGCAATCAGAGCAGCTAACCACATATTCAGAAACGTCAACCCACCCACCGAAACTCATTAAGGGGCCTGAAGGCACCAGCAAAAAGAGGTTAAAGTGTTACTAAACGAACAGTAAAATCAGTCTGTATATGCAGTAAAGCATGCTTGTTATACTCACTGTGGAACCTGAGGGGTTAATCCTCTACATTGTGTAAAAAGTATGTTCCATCCTGTCTTCTCTGATCCTTCCCTTCTTACAGTGTCCCCCCCCTTATCTCCTGAGGAGACATATCATGTGGAGTCACTCTGCACATGCTCAGTTTGCTAGAGAAGTTTTGTTTTTTTTCCCTTGGGGAGAGTGCATGTGATCAGCAATCAGCACTGTCCAGACAGAGGTCAGGGGTTCTGCATCCTCCTAAAGCAGAATGAAAAACTCCTCCTACAAACTTTAACCAGTACTCTGCTGGACAGATAGAAGTCACAAGACTGCTCTAATTGCTGATGAGAAAAAGGTATGTAGCAGTTTAGATTTACTAAAATAACTGCACTTCCATGTCCTATGTACTGTGGGGGACCAGATATAGTGAATGCAGGGTCCAAGGGAGACAAGATATAGTGAATGCAGGGTCAGGGGGGGGAGACCAGATATAGTGAATGCAGGGTCCAGGGGAGACCAGATATAGTGAATGCAGGGTCCAGGGGAGACCAGATATAGTGAATGCAGGGTCCTAGGGGGAGACCAGATATAGTGAATGCAGGGTCCAGGGGAGACCAGATATAGTGAATGCAGGGTCCAGGGGAGACCAGATATAGTGAATGCAGGGTCCGGGGAGACCAGATATAGTGAATGCAGGGTCCCGGGGAGACCAGATATAGTGAATGCAGGGTCCCGGGGAGACCAGATATAGTGAATGCAGGGTCCGGGGAGACCAGATATAGTGAATGCAGGGTCCGGGGAGACCAGATATAGTGAATGCAGGGTCCGGGGAGACCAGATATAGTGAATGCAGGGTCCGGGGAGACCAGATATAGTGAATGCAGGGTCCGGGGAGACCAGATATAGTGAATGCAGGGTCCGGGGAGACCAGATATAGTGAATGCAGGGTCCGGGGAGACCAGATATAGTGAATGCAGGGTCCGGGGAGACCAGATATAGTGAATGCAGGGTCCAGGGGAGACCAGATATAGTGAATGCAGGGTCCGGGGAGACCAGATATAGTGAATGCAGGGTCCGGGGAGACCAGATATAGTGAATGCAGGGTCCGGGGAGACCAGATATAGTGAATGCAGGGTCCGGGGAGACCAGATATAGTGAATGCAGGGTCCGGGGAGACCAGATATAGTGAATGCAGGGTCCGGGGAGACCAGATATAGTGAATGCAGGGTCCGGGGAGACCAGATATAGTGAATGCAGGGTCCGGGGAGACCAGATATAGTGAATGCAGAGTCCGGGGAGACCAGATATAGTGAATGCAGGGTCCAGGGTTTAGTAACACTTTAAACACACTCCATAACTCATGTACCATCTTCTGTACGAAGAATAGTGTAGTGCTATCACTGCCATTACCTTTTCTTCCAGGCTTCATTTCCCCTTGCTGATCCATGAAATATTCTCTAACGTCAATGAGAACTTTTCCTTTGAAGTCCCGAACGCTGACATACCTCATTTTACCAATCTGTTAAGAAACAGTTCATGAAAGTTTTGTGAGTGGCAGTAATGGTACAGCAATCAGGGCTCATTCACACCTTTGCATTTTAAAAACACATCAAAAGCCACAGGCATTGCTTTAAATGGTGCTATAAAAACACGTCCACGCAAAAAGTGTTGACATTTTATATTTTTTTTACAGTAAAAAGCGCCTCTAGATGACAAGGCAGTGCCTTAAAAATGTACAACTGTTGATAATGCACAATGATGTCTGAAAACACATGGAAAAAAAAAGGTGAGAATCCAGTCTTAAGCATTTAACCTTTGACTTCCATCTTTTTTTTTGTCTGGGGAATAGGAATCCTCGTTGATGAATAGGGTGGATTGCCTTATTCCTCAAGCTTCCTCCCCTACACAAGACTGGTGCTCTTCATTGACCAACTGGTCACAGGTCTACATCAGAAACAATTGAGGACCAATGGTCCTGCTCTGTATGCTAGGAAGCAACATCCCAAAAGTCTCAGATGATTCAGCTCTCTTGGCTGTGCCACATCCCTACCGTTCATAGGTCTATATAGATTGTTATTTCTAACTACTTGAGCTCAGAAAGGTTTTACGCACTTTATGACCAGGTCATTTTTTGCTATTTAACATTGCGCTACTTTATCTGGTATATTGCAGTCATGCAACACTGTACCCAAATGACATTTATATCTTTTTTTTCACACAAATAGAGCTTTCTTTTGGTGGTATTTGATAACTACTGGGTTTATATTTATATAAAATTAAATATATATATATATTTTTTTTTTATCCATTTCTGCTAAAAAAAAACTTGTCGAAAAAAAAAAAAAAAAAAAAACTAATTTCTTCATAAAATGTTGGACAAATATATTCTCCTACATCCCTCTAAGTGTATATTGACTGATTTGTGTGAAAATTATAGCGTCTACAAACTAAGGTATTACATATACTGGATTTTTTTTTTTTTTAAATAATTGTAATAGCGGTGATCAGTGACTTATAGTGGGACTGTGATAGTGCATGGGGCAATCTGACACTGACTATGGCTGGGCGTACCACTAACACAGTGATAATACTACACACCTGTCACTGTACGCGACACTGGACTGCGAAGGGGTTAACATCTAGGGGTGATCAAAGGGTTAACTATGTGCTGAACAAGTGTAATTTGTGCCGCTTTTTACTAAATATTTGTTTGTTCCTTCTCCCTGATCATTCCCTCAGCCCAGAGTCCTGTGATGACAAACACCACAAGGTTCTGTACAGTGACTGAACACAGCAAATCAGCAGGTCTCCGCCATGAATCATTGGCTGAAACCTGCATGAGGATGGGGTTACGTGTGCCCTGAACAGAGGATACTGCCGATGTACAGGTATGCGATTCTGCCTGGCCGGGCAGTCAGCAAGTGGTTAAGGAGGTAGTACTTTTGGGGCATCACAAAATTACAATTTGTTTTCAATAAATCCAATCTAGCTTTAATACTACAAAATACATAATAACATAAAAGGATTCTAGAATAAAACAAGCAACATAGTTACAAAGACCCAAAATTTAATTTAGCTTTATCACCCACTTTACTGGAGCACATACTGGCTAATTATGGATAAACCACTATAATGAATCATTTCCTCCTACAGCGGTTGTGATAGATTGCTCAGCTCAATGCGTTTCCAGGATTTGTACCATTCTGTTTCTTTAGCAGCTAGAGGGTCACTTTGCTCTACAACAATCAGAATCAATATGTTATGGTCAAAATACATTTTCCTATATATATCTGGTGTAGGTTTGCTGCATGTTACCTGGGAAAATCCCTCACCTAAAATGGTAAAAAGTGTTAACCATCTAGATAGAAACATTGTGATGGTTGTAAACACTTTGATGATCGGAGACCCCACTACTCAATGTGCCTAGTGCTGGGGTGATGGGTGTGCCCCCCTTCCCTCTGTATTGGTCCCCACCACCTGCGCCTCCATGGGTGACTGATGCCCCTCGTCTCCTTCAGTTGTGAGGGATTTTTTTAAGCTACATGCACCAAAAATAATAATATATATTTTTTTTTAATCACACATACACACAGTAATGCGTTTAGCTGAGCAAGATATCACAACCACTGAATGAGAAAATGATCATCATTATAGTGGTTTATCCATGATTGCCAATATGTGCTCCAGTAAAGTGGGTTACAGAGCTAATCTCAATTTTGATTCTTTTGAACTATATTGCTAGTATTATTTTATTCTAGAATCATTTGATGTTATTGCTTTTATATATTTTGTATTAATAAAAAGTTAAACTGGTTTTATGAAAAGAGAATTGTAATTTTGTAGTACCTCAAATGTCCTGCCTCTGTTTTTACACACACATCCCAAAAATTGTCAGAGTGCCCTCTGCTGGAAAAGTGAGGAATAAGAATTCCCCTTACTCGTCATCCTCTAGACCAGGGGTCTCCAAACTTTAAGGAAAGGGCCATTTTACTTTCCTTCTGAATTTAGGAAGCCAAACCATGGCCATCGGGAGTAGGAAAGATCCCAGCATCCTGTATATGCTGCCCCCGTTGCCCCTCCTGTCCAACTGTAAAACAGGGAGGCTGCAGTGCACTTCCCTAGTTTGAAATCAAGGGCCACATCAGAGGGGTCTGAGGGCCTCTCCTTTTCTAAGCAAAGAGCCAGTTTACTGTCCTTTGGGCAGTGGAAGTAGAAAATTCCCCATCATTGGTTTAATGGGGGGGAATAGTGCCGCATTGTCAGTATGGATGGAAAGAGTAGTGCCCCATATTGTTGGTACAAATTGGAGGAACAGTGCCCCATTTATGGTGTATTAGGGGGAATGGTGTCACATCATTTACATCAGTTGGTGAAATAGTGCTTTGGAGTGCCAGATAAAGGCAGGCACAAGGCCACATCTGGCCCCCGGGCCGCAGTTTGGATACCACGGCTCTAGACAAAACAAAAACATTTAAAAGTAGATCAAAAGTCATCCTAATAGCAGCAGCATGAACTTGCTTTATCCTTTATCCCCTGAATCAAAGCACTGACAGATGTACCTAGGTAGACAGGGTTTTTGTGGCACTGTCCTGAGAAAAGTGTCACAGCTACCATAGCCTGGCTTTCCTTTGAAATAGCTAGCTTCCTGGTTGTGCCTAGCTTTAATATTTCAGAGGGATAAACCTGGAACAAGCATGCAGTAAATAAGTGTCACTTCTGCTGCATTTGTCCAGTTAAGCAAGTCCTAAATGAGCATTTCAGTCACAGAGGTAAAACATGTACCTTCCTTTTAAAAAGGTATAAAAATTGTTCCATCGGCCAAAGGACTGGTAGTTTGTCTTGTGACTCCCACAAAGCCTAACCAAGCGATACCAATATCTTAACGTAGTAGCTTCTCGTGTCACCCACCTGCTCATCAGACATGTATCCGTATTATGTTACTGTGGCAATTCAATCCTTTGCCAGGTAAAACAGTTCAACTATACAATTACCTTTTTGCCTGAAGTTAGGCTTCTGAAAGATATATATATATATATAAAAAAAATATGTTTACCTGGAACATGTTGTCATCTGGATCATTGCTGCTTTGTTTGGCAGATGCCTTAGAACTTTCTCCTGTCTTCTGTTTCTTAGTTGGTTTCTCCTTCTCTGGTGGAGGTTGCTTTTTTCTCTTTGCCTGAAAACCAATAGAAGGATTAGGACAAACCAAAGGCAGCCACGACATTGCTAATTACTGCTGGTATCTGAACTGACCATACAACATAGCTCCATGTCATTTATCAAATGAAAAACTTTGAGAGAAAACGTAAAAGAAAAATAAGTAAAAACTATATATTTAAAAAAAAAAAAAAAAAAAACAGTGTAAACAGGAAAATGCCATTCAACTGCCAACTTTCATCCTTGCAGTTCAAGTCTGAAAATGAGAACCTGAATGGTTGCTATGTGAAATGTTCTTATTGAACTAGCAGTCAATAGCAGAAATTGAATAAAGTGGATGTCTTTGCTGTGGAAGCCAGAAAAAAAAAAAAAAAAAAAAAAAAATTTCCAATGCACGAATATATCAAATTGACCCCCACCAAGTATTTGACTATCAGATGTCAAGACACCCAAATACATATGCTTTACAGCTGCTGTCAAACCCGGCTGTCAGTGGCAGCTTCACTTAGGATAGGTAACCAAGTAGAGTAGTTCCCTATCATGCGATTACGGTTTCAGGCTAAAGGATTTGTATTAATGATTTCCACAGGCAGAGGACATTGCAGCCTGTAGATATTTTAATTTCCTAAAAAATTATATAGTATTTAATAAAAAAAAATCATGAACATGTAAAAAACTTTAAGAACCACTTGTCAGGCTATAGAGTGTGAAAAACTGACACACACTGACTGGGTATCTCCGCCAAACTACAGCTTCCTCCACTCTGGAACAGAATATAGTGAATGACAGAACCAAGCATCAGACAGAACCAATGTTGGAAAACAAGAGATAATTTTATGAACAAACAGCACAGCATTTATACACAAAAACCTTTCCCCCTAGACAGGTATGGCACACAAAACAAGTCTCTGAAGAAAAGTTACATTACATAAATAATTAAACCACAAGAAAACAATGGATTCCTTCCTGGCACCTAGCAGTGTGAGCTTAACACCTAAACCCAATAACAGCAAACAATAGTTGATCCCCACAGTCCATCCCCCACAGCTATCTCCTCCTGTGCCACCATCCCCCCCTCCTAGATTGTAAGCTCGAAAGAACAGGGCCCTCGATCCCCTCATGTTTTGCATTGTATTGGTATTGTTCTGTCACATGTTCTGTCCCCCTTTGTAATGTACAGCGCTGAGCGAACTATTGGCACTTTATAAATACTGTATCATAATAATAATGTCAGGAAACCTTAACCCCCACATATGCTGGAATTCACCCCCTGCACATAGTTCCACTATGCTCTGTATTTATATGCGTGAGTGTAGCTTTACCCCCCCCCCCCCCCCCCCCTTACCACATGGGGTGTTTGAAAGGAATTGGGCGGCTGCCCAGCCACCCGATCACTTCCATCTGACAGCCAGCTTGTCAGATATAAACACAGCCACCAGAAGTGTGTGTAAAATCCCAGCCATCAGGTCGGCACAATGTATGGACCTGGCAATAAACGGGTTAAAAGCAATGACCACTAAGCGTAATAGGGTAATGGACAAGAATATTTGTTTCAACTGACAAAAAAGTCAGTTTTACTTTATTTTTTAGATGTGCCCGATCAGGTTTGGAAGAACCAGACCTGGTTTTCATAAAACATTTTCACAAACAACATTTCTCAAATATGAGCAATAACATTCGCCAGTATGGAGCTGACCTCTACAAAGGATATAGAAAGGGATTCTTCTGATCGTTCAATTTAAATAGATATTAGTACAAGGTGTAGTTGTTTACTTACCTTCTGATCAACCTCACTATCGGAATCACTTCCAGATGAGCTTGAGGAAACCAACTCCTTTGATTTAGGCATGCTGCTGAATAACAAAGGGAATGATTATTACTACAAAATGCACGTTGTCTAAAGCACAGCTCATGATCAGCCCAATACAAAGGAACATTTCTACACGGCTTCATCCTCACTGCAGCTCTGACATTTATGAAATACATTTTGAACTGTCTTTCCTAAAAGTGACGCAAAGTTCTGTCATTTTCATGACAGAGACTTTGTGTCACTGATTTAGAAAACAAATGCAAAGGTTCTGACTTTCCTCTGCCTTCACTAATTGCACACTTGAGTCCAAGAAAGAATTTTATATTGATGACCCCATGCCCCAAGGGTCACATTTTAGATCATACCCAGTGGTGACTGTTTATTTTTAAGATGTCTGTTTAAAAAAGATGATTTGCTATGTTATAGGAACATCTGTTCATTGTGTATAAGCAATACCATGAAAAATGTACATTTTGCCTGGAATTCCTCCTGAAAACTAGTATTCCCCAATACATGAGCGTGGCTAGGCAATCCTGTGTAGTCTTATAGCTGTATATCTGCAGTATGACATCTTAGTCATCGACTTTTTGTAACTGCTAGTGTCAGGAGAGATTTGGTGATGTCACTACAGCACTACCCACTGTCCTTCCTACATGATTCCAGCACTCAGATGACGTTGTGACGTCATACAAGGCCCCCATCCGGACACGTTTCGTCACTACCCACGACTTCCTCAGGGGCATCACACTGAAGTCAAATGAGTAGTGAAGAAATGTGTTGGGGCAGGGCCTTGGATGATGTCTCGACATTCTACTGGGTAAACTGATGTGGTTACAGAATTAGCAGTAGAGGGAGCACTGCACAGGAACGCCAATCTCTCCGTAGAGACGCTGTGTACATTTAGTGCGATTGGACACCCAATACAAGTGAATGCAAACTTCATAGGTTGAGAACACAAAACATTTTAAAGGATAAAGAGCTAGGTCAAGTCTGTATGAGGTGGAGTGGTTGATGGAAGGAGACTACACAGAAGCTGTGGAGACTGGTCCGAGCCTGCATAGAAAATCCATATGGTCCACCGAGGGACAAAAAGGCGTATATTGACCAAACATCATTAAATTGTGAGGTCATATACTTTTCGTGAGCAGACATCTGGTGGTGGCGTTTTCCGGCAGAGTTGGATAAAGCACTAAGTGTCACAACATGCGATTTTCATCCACTGAAGTTTACAGACTTTTCCGTGTCTGTGGCTTTGTTTATAGCACCAATATTGATGTTTTACGTATCCTAACCACTGCACTAGTTGGTCGTTTATGGTTGACAGGCTTATTTTTAGGAGATCTGCATAAAGTGCGTAGCCGCTTGTAGAGGGAGACAGCATTGTTCACAGCTTTTATATAGGCTTTTGGATTATATTGAATTTTGATGATTAATTTAAAGTGTTACTAAACCTACAACAGTAAAAACAGTCTTTATATGCAGTGAAGCATACTTGCTATACTCACTGTGGTACCCAAGGGATTAATCCTCTGCACTGTGTATGCATTGTGTAAAATGGCCATTTGATCCTGACTTCTCTGATCCTCCCCTTCTTTCAGTCTCCACCTCTTATGCCTGATAAGACATGTGTGAAGTCACTCTGCACATGCTCAGTTTGGTGTGCATTGCTCAAGTTTTTTTATTCTAGGAAGAGTACATGTGATCTGCACTGTCCAGACTGAGGTCAGGGGTTCTGCATCCTGCTAAAGCAAAATAAAAACTCCTCCTACATGCTTTAATGAGTGCTCTGCTGGACACTAATAAAGGTCACAAGACTGCTAACTGCTGAGTAGATAAGGTATTTAGCAGTTTTTTATTTACTAAAATAATTGCACTTCCATGTTGTGTGTACTGTGGGAGACCAGATATAGCGAATGCGGGGCCCGGGGAGACCAGATATAGCGAATGCGGCGGCCCGGGGAGACCAGATATAGCGAATGCGGGGCCCGGGAGACCAGATATATAGCGAATGCGGGGGGAGACCGGGGAGACCAGATATAGCGAATAGCGAATGCGGGGCCCGGGGAGACCAGATATAGCGAATGCGGGCGGGGCCCGGGGAGAGACCAGATATAGCGAATGCGGGGTCCGGGAGACCAGATATAGCGAATGTGGGGGGGCCCGGGGAGACCAGATATAGCGAATGCAGGGTAACACTAAGTTGTGTATATTTTTAGCAGCTTGCAAGGTTCAAACAGTTTCTTTGGTTTAACTTTGTTTTAAATTTCTGTTTGCTTCATCCCCTGCCCTCATTAAGTCGAAAAATTAAGTCCTGCTAGATCACTTCGGGCTAGCCCCTTTTGCAGGTATATAACTATATAAAACATTAAAAAAATAAGTGGCTGTACTGTTTAAAAAACCAGTAATACACTTTCTCCCTGCTCAGCACATGCTCAGTTGCTCTCCATTTTTAGGCACTGCCGAATTTGTAGGGGCCAATCTACTAAAAGCCATAATGCAGAGTTAAAACCCTCCTATCCCTTACATCCAAGGAAGCTGCTTCTGTTTGATCTGCAACAACCATGGAGCTGCAGGTGATCAGTTATGACAGCAGACATTTGATGGTTTGACAGTTTGGTTGAGGACACAAGCAAATGTGATAGTTAGCAATCCTGGCACTCTAGGAATGTAACTGTTTATTTAAATCATTATAATTGATGGGTTTAGTTCCACTTTATGATTTAGTCCTCATGCACACGGGACATTTTAATAACGCTGGTAACGTTAGCTGTGTAAAGTAATGTTAAAAACGTGAATCTTTTAGCGTTTAGCCACGATTTTGTGTTTGTTATTTTTTTTTTTTATTGATTTTTGGTCAAAAAAAGTCCAAAAACACCAGTTTGCAGCTTTTTACCGAGTTAAGAGTGTTTTTTCAGCTAAAAAAAAATCCTCTAGAAACCCACTAGTCCTGGGTTTTTTTCCAGCCAAAAAACATTGATTACAGTCTATGTGCAAGGACACATAAGATAACATGCTGGGGGGTTTACTGGCAGTAAAAAAAAAAAAAAAAAAAAAAAAAAACTGTCAAAAGCCAAAAACAGCCACTGTAAAAACAGGAAGTGTGCATGAGGACTTACTGCTTTTCAGGGGCTCTGGGCTTCAGGAAAACTACGTCCTCCAGGAATACACAGGATCAATGCTGGAGGCAATTTTACAGCACACACTAGTTTTGGCAGCACAATTTATCACATGGAATGTATGTTCCTTGCTAAAGAACA